CTGACTTCAGATTCGTAGACAGCAGCCAAAAATCTTATAGGAACCATTTCGTCTAAATTTTTCTAATTAATTAGAAACTAATTTTTTAAAGTATTTTTTAATCATGGGTCAAAACTTAGACCTCTATATTTTTTAAACATAGCATATATGCTAACCTTAAAATTTTGCAGGTATTATCGGCTCATCACATGTAACCATTTGTCATAAAAAAAAAGTTTCAAAATTCGAGGTATAAAAAACGAGTATTTTTTGCATGGCGCTTACAGAGACTCTTTATATATTTTATTCTTCATTTAATGCGGGGAATGTATTTGAAAAATTAATTATTTTTTTGTTTCAAAATGAATTATTTCATTGTATATATGTAGATAAATTTTTAATTCCAAAAAAAGTTTCGTTAGATAAAGTATAAAATATAGATGATTTTTAAATCCGTAAAAAGGGATATTTAATCCCAAATAATTCCTTCTATAAAATGGATGACGTTAAAAATTTTCTATTCCTAAAGTGGTATTGATTTATTGTTTTTTTTAAGTTCTTTTACACAGCCATCCAAAAAAAAAAATTTCTTGATCTGGGGTCGAGAAATATAAGTATTCCTATGTATTTTGATGCGCTGAATCCGAATCCGCTATCAGAATTTGGCTAATGGGTCCTGGTTTCGCTCTAACCTCAAAAAATACCTTAAAATCGCTATAAAATGGTGTCTTTTAATTGATCAAAATTGAACCTAAACACATATTAATAAGTTTCTAAGGTCTTTTAATTTAAATAAACTATTCTACAAGGTTACCAAGTGAAAATTTATATAAAACATCAAATCTATCGATTCTAACCTCAAAAATACATCTAATCTTCCAAACAAATTATATCATACGTAGCGCAATTAAAAATAGGTAAGCTTATGGAAGTTACTACTCAAGTCTTTTTGTGGTTACTGATTACGGATTCGATGTCAAGTTTCAAAAATTCAAAATGGCGGATCCAATATGTCGGTTAAAAATCCTAAAATTGGATTTAAGTTGATGAAAGTTGTTACTCGAGGGGTTTTCGGGGTCGCTGATTACGAATTCGATGTCCGTTTCTAAAAATTCAAAATGGCGGATCAAATATGGCGGATTTTATTATTTTAACGAATTTTTTTAAATTTATTATTCTGAACCACGAGTTAGCAATAGTATATATTTAAAGACTGAGTGCTGTTAAGTACTCGACACACAATAAATACAATCGGCTTGAAATTAATTACTATTGGATCCGCCATTTTGAATTTTTAGAAAAGGACATCGGACTCGTAATCAGCGACCCCAAAAACCCCCGAGTAACAAAATTTAACCAACTTGGGTCCAATTTTAGGATTTTGGCCGCCATATTGGCTATTGCCGCAGCGTATACTTGTAGGTCACTCTCTCTAAATCTGAATTAGTAAAAATGTTTACTAATTTGAATTAGTGACTCACTTTTTGCTTCTGAATTAGTAAAATTTTACTAATTATTAGTAACTTTTACTAACAATTAGTAAAATTTTACTAATTCAGAAGCAAAAAGTGAGTCACTAATTCAAATTAGAAAACATTTTTACTAATTCAGATTTAGAGAGCTGATCGTTTATATTTCAATTAAATATACTAAAATAAAATAATATGTCAACAACCTAAAGTACTGTTGAAAATGGTATTTTATAGATATTGCGGAACGCATATCCAATAATATGAAGATATTAAAAAAAACTAATAAACTCGAATTGCAACGCAAATGACATTTTTCAGTTTATGGATTCATCAAATTCCTCATATTTTGGTTCAATTAACTTTTCTGTATATATATATATATTGAAAAGACAATAATTTCATTTTACTATTGTATAGCCCATTTTATGAGGATACAAATGAATTTTTAAAACAAAATATAAACTTGCGAGGAATGCATGGGACTGGGATGAGAGAATATGATAAAGAATACTGCTGAGAGAAACGCAGTGATAATTGGTTGGACTATATATATGGAGGAGGGTGGACGGTTGATTGTCTGTCGCGTGATTGCCTTATCTATCCTCGGGCTCACTGAATGTGGGTTGAATTATAGTTCCAGCAAGAGCAACGAAAGTCTTCGTTGCCGGAGGTGAAATTCGTAGAGGTATAGAGACTATCAAATATAGTACACGCAAATGCTCCTCTAAGCAGCCACAGTTTCGTATCTAATGCATGCATGTAGTTACATATAGCCATGTAGATACGTCTCTCACTGTAGAATTTGCTTCTACAGATCCATTTTGTACACGCCACCAACTTACGTGATAATACGTTGTAAACTTCAAATTGAAACGAAGTAAGATACAGTGTTGATGGTAATTTTTCTTTTTTAAAGCTATGTTTTGACTCTTTAAATATCGCATGCATTTTGACAACAACAGTTTTGCAGATAGTTGGCACTTTGTCAAAAATTTTTTTCTATATTTTTTTTTTGTAAATTTCCCAGAAACATAATTATACAATGCGAGAAAAAATAATTAGTTTCAGACAAAAGTTGATGCCCTCAAAGGGGGACATCCATTGGTGTACTTGAATTTGTCCTAAATGACAACTTTTGTCTGAAACATTCACAGAAAATTAAAAGTCATTAAAATAAGCTGCAACGCTTATTATTTTAATCCAATTTTGATTATTTTAATACCAAAATGGATTAAAATAAAGCAAAATAGGATTAAAATAAGAAGCGTTGCAGCTTATTTTAATGCCTTTTAATTTTCTGTGTTTTTTTTGTAAAATCAAGTGATTAAAAGTTATTTTGCCTGATAGATTAAAATAGGACACCCTTTAAATAAATAAATTAGTATATATGAGGACTAACTTTTATAGAAAAGTAGGATACAATATATAATATTATTTGTTATATTGGTATGTATATAGAGAAACTTGTACGGATTTCAATTGTTATTGAAGGAGAAAAATATTGGAAAAGATCATGGTAATCTAATGTCTATATTGCGTGCGAATACGTGAGAATATGACGTAAACACAAGTCGACACAGCGTAGTTTAACTTTGAAGAACATATAGATCGAAACTGACAGAAATGGAGAGATCCAAAATCTAAAAGAGACTAAAGCAGGAAAATCTAGCATCTCCACATTTATCACTAAAATATTATATATTAGAAATATTAATTAAAATTCCCTGTAACTTTCAAATATATTATAATTTATAATTTAATTTTAAGTGATTCGAATTTTTAAATGACAGAATTTTCAATTCATCGATAATCTTCATTTGTCCGAATTTTTATTTAATAGAATTTTAAAAACGCTGAATTTTTATTAGTCCCAAATTATTGCTAATGGCCAACAAACAATCGACAAAAAGATGTCGGCGCGAATTTTAGAATATTATTCAATATCGCAATTTTCTTAATAATTTCTGATTTCTTTATTTTAAAATTCGCGCCGAAATCTTTCTGTCAATTGTTGGTCAGTCATTTTGCAATTTCGAAGATATGGAAATAAGGTACAGTCGAACCTCGATAAGTGAGAATCCAAGGGACCGAAAATTTCTTCTCACTTATCAAGGTTTCTCAGTAAGACAGGTTCTCACTTATGAAGGTCGAAGAGTGGGTTTTCTCACTTACAGAGGTTATTGCACTGATAGAGGCTTTTTAAGGGTTTTGTTAATTAAAGTTTCACTTTTACATAATAAGAAATTTCATATAATTATTTATTTGCGCAATTCTTAACATGATTTTCAAGGTCATAAATTTTGTCAAAAACTGATTCATTAATATTTGTCGAAAATTCAAAAAATCTGTGAATTGTCTCTAGTGCACTTAAAACATCTTGTTGCTTTGGAATTGAAATATTCGATAAAAAGTGGCAGTTGATAGACTAAATTCACTTTCTATTACATTTCGTTTCTTTCCACTTTCAAATTCTTTTATAATGTTTAGTTTTTCAGTTAATGAAAAAGATTTAAGTTTACTTTTCGACATTTTGAATATTAGAAATAAAGCAATTCGCAAACGCTTCTTATTACAGTCGTTTTGAAACTAAAGTTTATTTTGTATGATAGGTATAATTGTAGTTTGAACAAAGAGCCTTTGTTCTTACACGTCTAATCAAATTTTAATTACTGTTTATTAATTTCATATTGACTTTTAGAAAATTATAATATAGAAAAGATTCTCAGTTATAGAGGTCTGAATAGCGCGCTTTTCTCACTTACAGAGGTCTAATCAAGAAAAATGATTCTCACTTACAGATTCTCACTTATAAAGGTTTTTGCATGTAAAAATGACGGGACCTGAAAATTCTTCTCACTTATAGAGGTTTCTCAGTTAGACAAGTCTCACTTATCGAGGTTCAACTGTATTTTAAGAATTCATAAAAATTCATGAAAAAAATTATTCGGACAAAGGAAGATTCGATGAATTGTAAATTCTTCGAAACACTTAAAATTATGTTGAATAAGAATTCTATTAAATTAATATTTGGTTAAATTTGAATTATATATAATAAATTATAAAAATTTGTAAGGTTGAAAAGAATCTGTTGAAATATTGGAAAAAAAAATTCAAATTTACTTCTCAAATGGTAACCAACCTAGAAATTTTACAATTTGTTTACTCAATTTGATACCAATTTCAAAATCATCAGTTGCAACAAAAATAAATCGACTTTTTTCCTGTGATATACACTATATTAAGTGTACTAGAAATTTTATCAATGGAAATAATGGTAAGTGGTTTAAGTCCGGCTTAAAGTTCGCCCTGTCGATACGACTCCTGCAAGCGCAATTGGGAGCGCATTCATGTAATAAGTTTTCAGTAAGCTTCCAGTGAGTTCTTATCAGTAGAACGTAACTACATATACCTAGAGGCGAAGTTTTCAAATTAAAGTGTTGATAGTTTAAAGCAGAATTAAAATTCACCAGCGTAAATGTGAGTTTTATAATTTCAATTAAAAAAACATTCTTTGTAAATATAAATAATTTTTTTTTCCGTATGTTTTAGGTGGATGCCCCGCTCCGCCATGAGGCCAGCCGAGGGCGACACATCGGACTGCATCCTCGTGGTTGGGATATCGCGACCAAAAATGGCCGCTGCTTTCCTGTCTGTCGCTCTGATTTCTCTTTTCCTGACTTTTCACGTTCTCTTTGATAGTGCAGTCTATAGTCTTCATGCCGCTTCCGGTGTTGAGGGTAGAACGATAGAATTGGTAACCCGTGCCCGAGCTACACCACCACTTCTTTTTTCCAATAAAGTACATTTTCCTCGCACCAATAGACATCTTCCTCAAGCAATTATCATTGGTGTAAGAAAGTGTGGTACACGTGCACTTCTCGAGATGCTATTTCTTCATCCACAAATTCAAAAGGCAGCTGGCGAAGTACATTTTTTCGATCGTGACGATAATTACAGTAAAGGTCTCGAATGGTATCGACGAAAAATGCCATATTCATTTAAGGGTCAAGTCACTATTGAAAAAAGTCCCAGTTACTTCGTCACACCGGAAGTAAGTTAATTCTCATTTATTTATATTTTCTCTTTAAGACTATTATTTATATTTGAGTCTTTAAAAGATATTTTTTAGAATTCGGAAACTTTTTATAAAACGAAAAAAAATTTTGGGGTTCAATTTTTTGGTAAATTTTTAAAAAATTGATGATTTGGGTTCCTTAAAGGGTTAAAATAAGAAATCTCAGGTATTTTTGAAAAATTGAAAATATTTTTCAAAATATTGCAAATATAAATTTTTTGTAATTTTTTTTAAAATTTATTATAACATCCGCAAATTTTAACCAATTGGGATGAATTTTTTTTTTAAATTACTCGTAATTAGATGATCTTTTATGAAAAAAATAAACAAATTTTAATTGTTATTAAAGAAACAATTCTAATTGTTTAAATAAATCGAAAAATATATCTTCGATTTTTTTTTTAAATTCATGAACATTCTCTACAATGTCCTGAAAAATTTAAAACCTTGAAAAAGATGGTATGTCTCATAGTTAGAATGTTCATGAATTTTTTTAGAAAAATCGAAGATATATACTTTTCGATTTATTTAAACGATTAAAATTGTTTTTTAATAACAATTAAAAAACAATTTTTTTTAAATATTTTTTTTATGAAAGAGCATCTAATTACGAGTAATTTAAAAAAAAATTCATCGCAATTAGTTAAAATTTGTGGATGCTATAATAAATCAAAAAGAAAATTACAAAAAATTTATATTTGCAATATTTTGAAAAATATTTTGAATTTTTCAAAATTACTTAGGATTTCTTATTTAAACCAGTAAAGGAACCCAAATTATCAATTTCATAAAAATTTACCAAAATAACAAAAATTAGTGCGATTACTTGATGTGGAGTCGCTCTAATGTGGTGTTTCCTAGTTCATTCAACGGTCACTAGCTCCCCTTGGCGCTGTATCCTGGACTTTGATACACGAACGTCTGTGTATTCGCCGCCATGTTTGTTGTCATTTTCGTTTAAAAATGTAACTTAAAAGTTACTTTTCTACTAATTCAAAACAAAATTATATTTCTGAGAAGCATAGCGATGTTCAGAGTTAAATATAAATTCTTTCATATGAAAATTCGACTGATTACAAAAATCTAGATACTTTATAAAATTCTTCTAAATGGTCAAAAATTTAAAAAATATTTGTATTCGTTTGAAATTTTGTATCTATAAATAGGAGAAAAAAAAATTTATTTGATCCTATACTAATTCAAAAGATATTCAATTTAAACATATTATTTTCAATTTAAAGAAACTTCTTTTTTTTGAGTTTTATAGAAAATTTCCCATCCTTTCTTATCGGAATTATAAAATATATATAATCCGATGAAATTTTCTATTATATACGTATAAATTTATGTGAAATTGAAGCATACGTGAAACGATATTTGCCAATATTTTGTCCTCTAGATGAAATTTTATCTTGCATGGGTATTTCAATTTATTTCTTTTAAACTGAGTTCTGTAAAGTAACTTTTTCGTTGAATATTCTATAGCTATCTTTTTTCTCTATATTTATTCTGTAGATAGTTATATATCATGGAAAAACTTTTATTACAAAATTTGTTCTATATCCGAGTCTAAATTACAAGAAATAATTTAAGTGGGAAATTGGTCTTTAATTATAATTTAAACTTTATTATAATGTTAAAATTGTGCAATTATTTTACAATCATTAAAAAATATTGAGTGAATAAAAATCAACTCTTGATTAAATAATATTACGGAAAATTAAATAAGGTCATTTTATAAGATAACTTGTAAATTGAATTAACCTTAATCCAAATTACCACTTCTCAAATAATATCATTTCTATTTGTACGAATTGTCATTTCATCTCATATTCTCCTTTGTCCTAATTGTCTTTTGTCGTATCTTCAACTCTACTTAATATGGTATCTATATGTCATAATGTCTATTTGTTTAATAAGAATTGTTCATTTGTCGAAATTATTATAATTTTATTTTAAACATAATTTGCATATTTTTCTTAAATTAACCTTAATACTGTTGCCATTTTACCATATATAGGCAAAATAACAAGTATCAAATTTAAGACATTAAATATTACCTATTTAAATTAAATAAAAAAAAATTTAATTTTTATTACTACAAATAATATTTACACTACAATAACTATAGGAGATAAATTTTTAATAAAATAACATTAGTTTATAAAAATATAATACCTTATAAAACGATAAATTTTATCTGATTAATTAATCAATATATGTACATACTTTAACTTAGTTAACACCAAAAGGTATAATATACATCCCGCGTAGAAATGGTCAACCCAGGGAAGACCCTGGGAGAAGGTTCGAAGTAAGATGTAAAAAACCTTGGCGAAACCATAGGCTAGGGCAAATACATTCCCTGGGAGAACCCTTGCTTATGATCGTTTCCCATGGTCTGGGAAATGCCTGGCTGAAGAGCAGAAATACATTTCTTTGATTGTAATGAAATTAATGCACTTTAACCCTTGTAGAAATATGGATCAAGACAAAACAGTTTTTACCCTGGATGAACCATGGGAAAACATTTTTTGTCTTTTTTATTGAATTTTTGTCACTGTCTTTAACCCTTGGCGAACCATGGATTGAGACAAAAATGTTTTTACACTGGATGAACCATGGCAAAACATTTTATGTCTTTTTTATTGAATTTTTCTTACTTTAACCCTTGGCGAACCATGGATCAAGACAAAACAGTTTTTACCCTGGATGAACCATGGCAAAACATTTTATGTCTTTTTTATTGAATTTTTCTTACTTTAACCCTTGGCGAACCATGGATCAAGACAAAACAGTTTTTACCCTGGATGAACCATGGCAAAACATTTTTTGTCTTTTTTATTGAATTTTTCTTACTTTAACCCTTGGCAAACCATGGATCAAGACAAAACAGTTTTTTCCCTGGGTTAACCATGGCAAAACATTTTTTTCCTTTTTAATGGATTTTTGTCACTGTCTTTAACCCTTGGCGAACCATGGATTGAGACAAAAATGTTTTTACACTGGATGAACCATGGAAAAACATTTTATGTCTTTTTTATTGAATTTTTCTTACTTTAACCCTTGGCGAACCATGGATCAAGACAAAACAGTTTTTACCCTGGATGAACCATGGCAAAACATTTTTTGTCCTTTTTAATGGATTTTTGTCACTGTCTTTAACCCTTGGCGAACCATGGATCGAGACAAAAATGTTTTTACACTGGATGAACCATGGCAAAACATTTTTTGTCTTTTTTATTGAATTTTTGTCACTGTCTTTAACCCTTGGCGAACCATGGATTGAGACAAAAATGTTTTTACCCTGGATGAACCATGGCAAAACATTTTTTGTCTTTTTTATTGAATTTTTCTTACTTTAACCCTTGCGAACTATGGATCAAGACAAAACAGTTTTTACCCTGGATGAACCATGGCAAAACATTTTTTGTCTTTTTTATTGAATTTTTCTTACTTTAACCCTTGGCGAACCATGGATCAAGACAAAACAGTTTTTACCCTGGCTTAACCATGGCAAAACATTTTTTGTCTTTTTTATTGAATTTTTGTCACTGTCTTTAACCCTTGGCGAACCATGGATTGAGACAAAAATGTTTTTACTCTGGATGAACCACGGAAAAACATTTTTTGCCTTTTTTCTTGATTTCCTTAGAAAATCACGGTTCGATACAAAGGTGTTTTTACCTTGGGTGAACCATGGTAATTTTTTTTTGTTTAATTGAATTTTGTTCTTTCTAACCCTTGGTGAACCACGGGTCGAGAGAAAAGCGCTTTTACCCTGGACAAACCACGAAAAATCGTTATTTTTCTTTTTTTGAATTTACTCTTTCTAACCCTTGGAAAATGATGGATTGAGACAATGATGTTTTAACCTTGGATGAACCATGGTATAAAATTTTTATACTTAATTTGTAATTACATAGTTTTATTTAAAATTTAATATTGTCAATATAGGTTGAGTATATAAATTGAACAGATTTAATATGTTTGTTATATGTCAAATATTAAATGCGTATATTATTGAGTCGTTGTTTAAAAAAAATGAAAGTCATTTTAGTACTTTGAACATAAAAAAAATAGAACAACATAATTTTTTTAAATATAATTTTTTTTCAATATGATAATTCACCCTTACATTCGGCACATTGCAACAGATGTACTATGATATTTAACAATTAATTTACATTTGCTTGTATAGAATTATAATATTGCATCCTATTATTACACATGTTTAAAGATACTTTGAATTCTTCAAAAGTTCTATAAATAGATATTTTCTCTGTTTTGCAATGCAAACTTGCAGGAAGTTTCCGTCGCAAACTTAAAGTTAAAACTTCTGCGCAAAAGTTTTCTATGCTAGATAGGGCTGTGCAATAAGTTTTTATGACCAGAAAATTGAAATTTTTTGTCTTGGAGTAAATGAAAGGTGAACCAAGTAAAATTTAGGCTTAAAAATATTGATAATATTTATGATGAGTTTGTTTATAGTAAAGAGTGTGCTCCTGATGGAATAATATTTCATTTTATTACACAGGTGTTGTCGATTTATGATTTTTATGCTTGACTCTTAAGTTTTACACTTAAATCTTAATTCTTATATTTGAGTCTTACGACTTAAGGCTTAAGAACTGCGGACGAACGCCCAAGTCTCGTAATATGGGTTTTTGTGTGCGGCCATGAAACCCTAAAAACTAACGATACTCATAGATAAGAGTTCAAAAAAGAAAACCTGAAACAAACATTGCATTTCAGTATAATATTGATGTAAAATCCGAAATCTTAAACTCCTATTTTATATATCTAAAACCCAGAACTAAAAAAAACAAAATATTGAAAAGCTGTAGAATCGAGAAATTACTTATTTTAATTCATTTAAATATTCTTACTTCAAAGTATCGAAATCAATATAAATTATTAATTGATTATATTATATAAATGCCTGAAGATCTGGATGTAGAAATATATTACTAAAGTAAAATTCATTCTTTTTCTAAAGTATTCACAGGTTCTGCCAGAAAAGTTTCATTCTCATTATTAATTAAAAAACATACTGTCTGCAAAGATTCGACGTCAATAATTTTAAATTCATTATGCAAATATTCAATTTTGTGTATAAAATGCACTCTTACGCGTGGTATAACAAAAGTAGGAAATGCTATTTCGGAATTACAAGGAATAATAACCGCGTAATGACTTGAATTTGGACAATTACACACTCTTCTACAGTCACAATTCGTAATTCTTACAAAAAATTTTATTTTGCCGAAGTGTGGTCTACCTCTTAAATGATATTTTACGTGTCTAGAATCAGTTAATTTTGACCGAGTATAAATTTCAGAGGAATATATGAGTTTGTTTTTCAATAACTTCTTAAATATTGTGAATTTTCTGCCTCGAATTCCATTAACTAAAATGACTTCCATAATATTATGGGGAATAATTTGCTTACATAGTGCGCCAATTATAAAGATATAGTCTCCTATTTGTTGTATTTTCATTTGCTTCGTCGGGGACAACAATTTTTTACAAAATGAATGGGGCTTGGTATTCGGTATTAGTAATTCCTGACTTAGTGTAAATGTATTAATAAATAAAGATGTACCAAAGTATACTTGTAATTGAGCACCTTTACTTCCATGTACTAATGTTTTTAATTTTCCATTTATATCTTCAAAATCAAAACATGAATATGCCCATAATGGACCTAAGGTGAGGACACTTGAAGGAAAATGGCGCAAAGAATGAATATTGCATGACATGTATCTAAGACCATATAAAATTTCAAACCGTGAAACAAATTTATTAAGTGCACGTGAAGCATTATTGATCATTTGCCTAGAAATACTGGGTTGACAAAGAAGAAATACTCCTGTTACAAATAATTTAAAATGATCAATGTACTCAACTTTTTCAGCACTTTCAAAGGTTTCTGATAAAATCGGTATTGAGTAATAAAATAAAAAATTTTTCAGTTCGGAAGCCTTCCAATATTTTAGATGTTCTTTTATAGATCTAGGTCGCCTTTGTACAAATTCAGGAGGCAACATATTTTTTAGCCTCTTGTCTATGCTATCTACCGATCCTGAAATAGAGAAAGGACAACGACTATATTCTGGGTTAAACCACAAATTTAATAGTGTTTTCATAACTCCAACAAAAATACAATGCATTGGATCCAAAGCCGTAGTTGTAATCCATTTATAAGCTAAAACTGAGATAATTGTGGGACCCTTTACACCACAAATTGGAGTTCGATTTACCCGTTGAGCATGAAGCGTCGTTTCTTCTTCTGTTCTTAAACGTAAATTTCGTTTGTATGGATATACCTGTACATTATTTATTCTTTCACCAGGTTGCTTACATTTATGACAGCCAAACTTTCCGTTGTACTGTTTCATATTTAGAAATAAAGCCTTTGCCGGCAGATCACAAGTACCACATATAATGATACCTCTAACTATAATTGGATTCGGAATATCAGGTGTGTTTATTTCAATGCCATTTCGTAATTCCATGACTTCATCATGAATTGGAAAAAGATACATGTTTGGTACTGGCTTCTGTTCTCCAAACCACAGTCCAACGAGAATAATATTTTCTTTCTTGAATCTTTCTTCGTAAGGTAATTCGTTAATAACAAAGTAAACTGGCCACATTGAAAATTTTGATGATTTAAAAATAGGAATTCCATCTGTGTACCAGGTGAATGATATATTGTTAGGATTATGGAGTAGGTGACCTGCAGAACTTAATTCTTGATAAATACTCCCATCATAAATATCCTCAATATTTTCTTGCACTTTTTTCGCTCGATTAAACCGATAACTTAGTTTTTGGAGAAAACCATGTCGTTTGTAAAGAGCTCGAAGCTGTTCTTTAATTGACATTGTCATAAAATATTTTGCATCTGTTGAGGCTAAACAATTAGGACATTGTTCATTTTCATTTTCTAATCCATGGAAACAATTGCTACAGTAAAAATGTCGTTTTAAAGGAGTTTGCAAATTTTCGAAGTATCTTTTAAACATGTATAATGATGTTGGGCAATTATTTGGTACAGGACAATGCAATTCTATCAAAGTTAAAATGTTTACCAAAAGTACACCTGTTAAAGAAAACCGCAAAACCAGTGCAAGAATTGACAACATACTTTCCGCGTGAGTTATTCGTGCTCCTTCATATAAAGGACCATTTTGATTTTCATCTGGATCTTCAGGATCTTCTGGATCTTCTGGATCATCAAAATCTTCGGAGCTTTCGGAGTCTTCTGAATCTTCTGAGTCTTCTACATCTTGATTAAAAACAATATTATTAGCTTTATTTTCTTCCATTCTATCATCAGAATCACCATCATTACTAATTGACATATTTTCATTCGCCTCGAAGTAAATATCAGAATCATCTGCGAATTAATAATCAATTAATTCTATGACAATCCAGTTTTACAATTTTATTTGTAATTAAATTAGAATGCTTCATTAATGTTAAGGAGGAGGGGGGTAGGCAGAAATTTATTACTTTCGTTTATAACAACGGTCGGCAAAACTTCTCAAAACGTATTTTAAACGGCATAGAATAAACTCTTTGGCTAAACACTGGGACATGGTTGGCCAGAACTTTGGCAAAGTTTCTCGAAACGTATTTAAACGGAATAGAATAAACTCTCCGGCTAAACTCTGGGCCGTGGTTGGACCAACGTTCGGCAAAACTTCACGAAACGTATTTTAAACGGCATAGAATAAACTCTTCGGCTAAACTCTGGGCCATGTTTAGCCCAAAGTTTGGCAAAACTTCTTGAAACATATTTTAAACTACTTGAAATAAATTGTCTGGCTAAACTCTGGGCCATGGTTGGCCCGACGTTTGGCAAAACTTCTTAAAACGTATTTTAAACGACTTGAAATAAATTGGGTGACTAAACTCTGGGCCATGGTTGGCCCGACGTTTGGCAAAACTTTTTGAAACGTATTTTAAACGACTTGATATAAATTGGGTGACTAAACTCTGGGCCATGGTTGGCCCGATGTTTGAAAAAACTTCTTAAAACGTATTTGAAACGGCATAGAATAAACTCTTCGGCTAACACTGGGCCATGGTTGGCCCGATATTTGACAAAACTTCACGAAACATATTTTAAACGGCATAGAATAAATTGGTTGGCTAAACTCTGGGCCATGGTTGGCCCGACGTTTGGCAATGTTAAAGACTTCTTAATAGAGGGAACTTTTGATATCTCAGAGATATCCCAGAGAGATCTAAGGGATCGTTCACATATTACGTCACACGCTTAGTGGGGGGAGGGGTCTGTTGAATGTGTGACGACCTGTAGAAAAAATGGCGCTAATGTATAGAATAGTGTGTGATGTGGGGGAGGGGGGGTTAAAAAATAATGAAAAATAGCGTGACGTAATATGTGAACGATCCCTAATATATACAGTGGACATATCTGCGGGATATATATGATTTTTTCGATATATCCGAGGGATATCTATTTGCTGTACTGGCGACCTTGAAATCCTCGAGTGACAAAATTTAAATGAATCAGATAATTTTTTAAAAACTTTTTCGCCATTTTGATCCCTTAATTTGAATTTTCCATAACGGATTACATTTTTAGAATCAGCAACAGCGAGATATTAAATCCTACATTTAAAATTTAAAAAAATGGTTTTTAGATTCGTATTCTGCGACTCAAAAACCCCTGTGTGACAACTTTTAAGCAAATTTGTTTAATTTTTAATTTCATCTTTAGCCATACTGGATCCGACATTTTGAATTTGCTTATCTGGTTTCAGATTCGTAATTAAAAAGAAAGTCTTATTTTAAGACAGAAAAGGTGTCTAATTTAAGACGCAACATTTTTAAAACAGCCCTTTCTAAATCTAAGCAATTTAAAATTTTTAAAAATACCCATGATTATATGTTAATAATTGAATTGTATTACAATAAAGTTTAACCTGAAATGATGCGTTGCCGTATATATATTTGTTAATAATAAAAAAAATAATATACATTAATTTGTTACAAAACTCCTAAATTTTAATTATGGAAACATAAAAATGAAAAATATATAATTGTTTAAATTTTTGCTTTAAGTTATTTTGATAAAAATTGATGGCATAAAAGGTAGTCGATATATCGACCACTAGAACTGAAAGGGTTAACTAGACATCAAAGCACAAATACAAAAAAAATTATAAGAAAGATACTGTAAAATAATTTGGAAAAGATATATGAAGGAAACAAAGAAATGTGTTGTAAGATTTTAAATCAAAAAAAGTTTAAATAAAATATTTCATATTGCACCATTATTTGAATAGAGCCGCGTATTTCTAACCAGCGAGCATTACTAACCAAAGGGGTTAAAGAGGAAAATATGCATGAAATTAAACAATTTAAAAAATACAGTTATTATAAAGTATAATTAATTACTTTTTACCAAAATGTCTCTTAATCAATGTAAAAAGATTTGCAAAATATGTATATTTTTTCCATGCTCTAAGATGGCCTAACCCCTTTATCGATTTTAAAAATGATTGAAAAAATTATTCTATCCCGAATTGGCCGCAAAATTTGTTTAGAATTATTTCTTATCCAAGAAAAGTTTTCTATTATTTTTTAATCATAAGCTTTGAAGAAGATTCTTTCTCAATTATATGAATATTGTAACTATAAGTATTGAATATTAAATTATTTTTCAAATAAAAAAATTAGTAAATTATCGAAAAATATTTCACCATCATTAGACTGATCATCATATTCGTCATCTTCTGTATCAATGTAATCATTATTATCTGAATCTCTATAATCACTGTCAATCTGATTTTCTTCGTCCAAAAAGTTTATTTTTTCTTCTTCCAAAGATTGCATATCTTCTTCATCGTCATTATTAGACTCCTATTACATAGTTTATTTTATTATTACAAGAATATATCCCACATTAATTCTTAACTTAAAAAATCAGAGAGATTTTTAATTTATAGTCATACTTTTCTTTTTTTCGTCCTAGTACAAAAATAGCAATAATTAACGTAAAGTTTATTTAACACTAAGTAGCTGAAAACAATAAAAAACCAATAATTAACATTTGGTTTTATTCTTTATTAAACAAAGTTATGTAATTTAAAGCTCATAAAATTTGTGAAATGCTATCAGTTATTTGATAATTATTTGCTAATTAATTAAATTTAAAAAAAATAAAATACGTAAGAAAAAAAATTTTATCAAAAATAAAAATTTTTACATAAATTATATATATATTTTTTTAAACAATTTAACACGTATATTATACACTTGTGAAAAATTGGTAATAAATATCAAATTAACTAACTGAATCAGTTGACATAAATAAATTATTTTCTTCATTATGTTGAAGAGCTTGTAAAATCCTTCTCTGTGTGGAAAGAGAATAATTTTCAAAATCCTTGTATTGACTCATTTCACAATATTATCAATAAAAAATTTTATTTACAATTTTTTTTAAATTAATTTATTTTCATATTTTATATTTGAAATAATATTCAAATTTTCTTTTTTTATTTTGAATTGAATAAAACAAACTTGTATGAAAATAACATTCAAATGACACAAATTGAAATTTCAGTTTTGATATATTAAGCATACTAAAAACTTTAACTTCCAATTGCAAAAAACAAGCGATAAAAAAACAAATTTTAGAATCAAATATTTTAATTTATGTGTATTTAATATAATTTATGTATATTAATGTTTTTAAACTAAACCTTTTTCTTAGTAGTTAAATTACAAATTTTTTTAATTAAACAAAATTATTTAAAAAAATGATTTCATGTAAATAAATTCGAAGTATTTAAAATATTTTTTTATAATAATTTTTATAACAATTGTTTTATGTGACAAAATTCAGATTATTGATGTGTCAATTTAGAGTTAAAGTTGATCGTAGTCATTGCACAACAAAAATGTCGACCAAAAAGAATATTTATTGTTTAGTATTCTGGAAAGAAGAAAAATCATTTAGTGTAATCGAAGAACAAAAAGAATTAGTAAATATTGGTGAAGGAAAGGAAACCGACCTTGTTGTAAAAGGAACGTCATATAAAATTATACTATTAGCAAGAAGTGGTAACTGTTTTTTCTTCACAAACAATAAACATATAACGTATAAACTTTTTTCTAATTTTTTTAAACTAATTTCAATAAGTTTTAATTTGAAGAAAATGAAATTTTTTGATTATTTGAAAAAAAAATTAATAGAATCATTAAAAATTTTGAAAAATATTTTAAATAATGGAAATAAAATAAATATTAAGGATTAATTAAATTATTAATTAAATATTAATTTATTAATTATTATTAATTAATTAAATTATTAATAAATATTAATATTATTTTTTAAATAATTTACATAATATTGATTTTTAAAAAATATTTTGCTTCTAACCTCTGCTTTCATTAATTATTAATTTTTAATTATTATGAATTAATCAATTTAATTATCAATAAATATTAATATTATTTTTTTTTAAATATATATTTGAAAAAATATTTTACTTCTAACCCCTGCTTTTAATATGAAGGATGAATTTTTATACCTCTAATTTTATAATTATAATGAATATAGAAAATAAAAACCAACTGAAGAAGATGGAAGTTTCTAGAGAGGGGAAAATATTGAACAAGGAAAGTTTATCAAGAAATGTTTCCAAACGAAATGTCAACTCAGATGAGACAAATAAAAAGAAGCGACGAAACGCTGTTGAAAATGAAATGAACAATAAAATTTTTCAATTAGGTTCATTTGCTGATGTGGTAGATGCAACCAAAAGCTCTAAGGAAAAGAGTAATATTTATGTCAATTTTATATTCTTTTAAAACTATACTTCACGTAACTTTTTCCCTTATTCTCTTTTCAATTTCTAACCTCTACACCTTGGATTTATTTATTACATTCCTTCTTTTTATCATTTTTTTCTCTCTAACTCTTCTTATTATCTCTTTGTTACTCAATCTCTTCTGAATATTTTTGCTCTTTCTGATTTAATTTCTTTCCTCAATTTCCTCTTTTACATATTTATTTTCTTATGCCCTTCCTTTTTTTAATTTACCCTCCCTCCCTCACTCTTATCTCTTCTGCTATCTTTTTTATATTTACTTTTTTACTAATACTTATTTTCTAATATATTATTTTACTTTAATTTATGTTTTCTCTTTTTCTCCTTCTTAGGTTCTCTTCTCTCCCTTGATTTTCTGGTCCTCTTTTTCCTTTTTTAAGTCACTTTCTTACACATTTACTCTTTCTTTTTTTTCTTTCATTAATTACATTTTTTTACTCATTTCTTCTTTATTATTTTTCGTTACCACTAATACAAACATGCAAAACGTTCGCCGAACAAAAAAAATTAAAAAAAAAACTTTTAGAAAATATTTAGACTGGTGCCAAACTACAATATTAATAATAAAAAATTGATATTTTTAAAAAATAGGGTAAAAACAACTCCCATTATGATTAAATACATAAAAATTAAGAATTTGACAATTTTTTTGTTCTTTTTTTCTAAAAAAATATCAAAAAATTTTCTTTTTTACCCCCTACCAAAATTCATATTCAGTATAACTCGCTTGAACCCCTAAAACTACCCTTAACACATATATCGCTTACGAGGCCATATATTGGTCAATTTGACGACTTTTCCGTTTGACATTTTTTTTTAAAAAATATCCAAAAATTCTCTTTTATTATACCCTACCAAAATCCGTATTCTTATAGGCTATCCCCATAACGTCCGTAGAATATTCTTAATATCTGGGTATGAAGGGATTTTACTTTTAAACGACATATTTTTATCCCACTATTTTCTCATTCATCCTTGTTTCATGTAAAATAATCTAATTTTATATTTAAAGACGATATGTCAAAAAAAACTGGAATAGGACAACTGGATAATAAAAAGGAATATATTATACCACAAAATTTCGGCAGCGAAAATTCAGAAGATCAACAAATTACGTCAATCCTGGATAAACGAGTGTCAAAAGTTTCCCAGCCTAAAATACCGAAAAGTAACTATTTTATCCTTAGAAACAAATTTTTCTTTTTTTTATTCTATTTTATAATTTCTTGTTCACTTTTACCTTTTTATATCTCTCTTAATCATTGTTTATTTTATTTTTATTTCACTAGTAAAATTAACGAAAAAAGATCTTTAATAAAGCAAAAAAAAATTATTTTAAATCGTCTTTCATGACAGTTAAGTTTGAATAACTGTTACCGCAAAAGGAAGTATTTTACAGTTCACTCTAGTCACTTTTAATAATATTAAATAAACTTTCGTATCTATCTTAAATCTTTAATAACTTTATTTATTACATTTTGAAAGTGACTACAAGTTTATCTTTTAATAAGATACCTACTATTTGGAGTAGGCACTAAATCTTAACATATTAAGAAAAAATAATATTAATATTACAATTATCTTCAAAGACAATAAGTCAAAAAGGGAAGATAAAAAACTTTTAAACACCATCCCACACGATTCTTACATGGAAGATTCACATGCGAAGACAGTCCTGGCCAAAGAGAGACGCTTGCCTGAACAATCCAAACCTAAATTTCTAAATGGTAACTGTTTGAAGTTTGAACAAAAAAATCAGACAATTTATTTATTCCTTGCTCTTTCCTGCAGACATTCATTTTCTATTCTATTCATTATCTTTGATTCTCCTTCTTTCTTTTTTCATACTTTATCATTTTTAAACTATTCTTTACCTCATTTTTTCTTTTCATCACTCTTTATATTCCATTCCTCTTTCTGATCCCATTTCTTTCTTTTACCTTTTACTTGCTGTCTTTATCTCTTTCCCTGGACTTTCATCATCTTTATCTTTAATATCGTATATCGCACACTTTTCCTTTGCATCTTTCCTTCTATCATTTCTCTATTCTCCCTCTCTCATCACCACCTTTATTTTTTCTTTTGTCCTATCTCTACTTCTCTCTTTTATTTATTTCATTCTCCTTTCCTTTTTTCTTTTATTGTTTCCCTCTCTCTCTTGACTCTTTCTGATACTTCCCAGTCTTTTATTGCAGTTTTCTTACTTAATGTCTTACACTTTTTTTCGATCTTGTCTTATTTTATTAATTGTCTCAATCATTATTTTTTCATATTAATAATATAATTTAAGTAATAAAATAATAATAATTTCTATTTAAAGACGATAAGTCCAAAAAAACTGAAAAAGGAGTATTAAGCAGTAAAAAAAATTACGATTGCGCAAAGAAAGAACAACGAACTGATTTAACCCTGGATAAACGAGTGACTAAAGTTTCCCATCCTAAAATATTGAAAGGTAACTATTTTGTGCTAATGAACAAATTGACTGCACTCTTTTCATATTTTAACTTTCTTATACTCCCAATTCCGCCCCTTTTTTGTTATTTACGTTTTTACTTTATCATCTAAAATAATGCAAAGTCTTTATTCAAAGAAGGTAAGCCAAAAATTACTGAGATGATAACTTTAGCCCCAGATAAACGAGTTCATAAAAATTTCCAACATCAAATAGCAAAAGGTAACAATTTCAACCCTACAAATGTCTAGACTCTCATGCATTCTGAAAAGGTAATATGTTAATTCCATTAAAAGGTATTAAGTCAATGGGAGATGAAAACGCAACATCCAATAACGATTTGGATCCACACGATTCTGACAAAGAAGTTTCAGGTGATGAGACAATCCTGGCCAAAGAGAAACGCTTGCCTGAACGATCCAAACCTGAAATCCTGAATAATAACGGTTTCAACAATTAAAAACAATTTATCTATTTCTTGGTCTCTCCTTCAGATACTCATTTTCTATTCAATTCATTCATTATCTTTCATTGGTTCATTCTTCTTCTTACTTTTTTCCTACACTTTTTTCTTTCTAAATTATTTTTCACCTCATTTTTTCTTTTCATCACTCTTCTTATTTCATCCCTCATTGTGATTCCATCCATCTCTCTTTCTTTCTTACTTTCTGAAAAAGTAATATAACAATTATATAAAAGGTATAAAGTCAAAGAGAGATGAAAACGAATCTTCTGAAAGTAATAACGATTTGGACTTATCACATGATTCTGACGACGAAGTTACGGATAATGAGTCAATCTTATCCGAAGAGGAACGCTTCCCTCAACATGTCAATCCTCAAATCCTCACTGGTAACTGTTTTAACAATAAAATCCACCGTTTCTCTATATCTTTCTGTTTTCTGCATGCCCTCATCTATTCTATTCATTTACTATTTATGTAAATTCTTACTCATATTTTATCTCAATTTTTTCTAAATTATAAAAAAAAATTTATAAGAAACATAAAAAGATTTTAAAAATTTTCTTTCTTGGTAGTGTAAATTATATGACTTTGTTCTCATTTATTTATGAAAAATAATATTTATAATCTATTTTTAAGGAGATAAATTAAAGAGAAATGACAAAAAAAATTTAAATACTGACAACGTTAGCGAGATTTCACAAGATTCTGAAGGGGAAAATTCAGAGCAAGAATCAATAATTAATGAAGATAAACGTACGCCTAATGTTTTCAAACCTCAAATGCCGAAAGGTACAATAATTTTAACCTAACAAATTAATGGAACAACATTTTTAGAAAATGACGCTATCTCAAATTTATTATTTTTTTCGGTATTTTAAATAAAGACATTATTTCTTCTTTAGTAACTCCGCAAGTTGTTACCTTTCTTCGTGAATGGTTGGCCTATGCAGAAGGAGAATTAAGTGAAAATACGTCTACTGAAAATCAAGTTCGTTATCCTTTAAAATATATATTGAATGGTTTGAGGATTCAAATACATACATTTCTACTTATTCATACTGACAAATACTGTAAATACAGTATAATATCTTTATTCTAATTACTATGAAATTTAACCTAATCGCATTTATCTTTATCTCTAAAATATAATAATATACTCATCAGTGCCTGAGCTTCCGAATCTTTGATACAAAAAACGGAACTCCCATCTTAAATCTCTTCAACCAATAAAAGTTCCAAGTTTTCCTCTCCAAACCTACATCATTACACAATCTTTTTTCTCTTCCCATCCAATATACCTAATTTTCTCTTTTTCTGAATCTCACCATCTATTGCTACTTTCTCTTTTTTCATATTTCTTAAATACCTAGACTCTTTTACCTTCTCCTACCTACTCGGTTGTGTGGACTTCTCCCTAAATTCACATATTTTTTTCTCCTTAAAATACTTTTAACTATCTTACGAATTTCCCGGTCATTAAACTTTCAGTCTTTATTCTATCATGAAATTGTTTCTGTTTAATCTACGTTTTACTTCATCCACTTTTTTCAGTCATATCCATCATTTAATAATGTAACTTATTATTTTTCAATATATTTACAATATATATAGTAATATGTTATTTATTTCAATACAGCATGCAAACATAGCAGCTAGCAAACATTTAGCATCGACATCAAAAAAAGTTTTCATAATAAATGACGAGTTAGTTATTAATAAAGCGAGAGAAATTGAATTTACCCGATTTAAAAGAAAACCAAAAGAACTGGTTCGACGTCTGATGCTCGAATTAGTAGGTAAAGAAGAGCTTAAAACTATGACCGCCCTTGGACAAACAAAATCTGGAAAGATAAGAAAGTCAATTCCAGATGGAATTAGAGTTGCTGTATATAGTGTGTATCAATATTTCTCATTACCTTTTGAATCTGAATCAGTACCGTAACAGCTCTTGCAACCGAAATATCGTAATTTATAAATTTTGAAGAAAAATCTTTTATTGTTTTAAATAATTTAATTTATTCTACAGAGTTTCACACATAGCTTACATAAGATTTTACTAAATATTTTCCACTTGTATTGTTGTAATTAATTTTTTAATTACAATAAGATTTTTAAAAACTTACGTAAGAATGGGGAGAGGGAGTATGAAAAATCATGTGTCCTTACTTGGAGCAGGAGAGGGGTCAAAATTAGCCAAAATCGTCTACTTAATTAATGAATGGGCTCTTATAACTGGTTCAAATTCAAAAGATTATAAATTTAATAATTTACTAACTTTTCGACAAATTATTTTAGATTATATTGAAAGTAAAACGAAAGGACTATCGCATAAAAAATATGTTGAGACTTTAAATAATCAATGTTGCACTTTAAGGAACCCGAAAAAAAGTAACACAATTGCAGTAGAAAGAAACGATGAGACTGAAAGAAATAAAGACAAAAATGTTGATAAAGAATCTGCAAATGATGAGTTAATTTTTAGGTAATTAAATGAAATGTTTAAGAAATGTTGAACACTGAAAAAAAAATTTTTCGTTTAAGAGAGATGTTCAATATATTCGACAGTCGAGTTTTTTTCTTATTCTTCATTCCTGATTTTTTATACACTTTTTTCATGATTCTCAACAATCAATCGTATTGATTTTAAGAAAATTCAATTTTTTCGAAAAATAAAATTTCTGAAAAAATTTTTTCTACAATCTTTATTATTTTTATGTGTAATTTTTTTGTAGGCTTTTTTCATGATTCTGAACAATCAAACGTACGGATTTTTAAAAATGTTAATAATTTCAAAAAATAATATTTATAAAATGGTTAAAACAATTTTTTTTAAATTTTGATAATTCACAATACTTTTAGATCCCAAATAATGTCAGAAAAAGAATTGACACCCTTTAACAACATTAATTCCAAAAAGTTGAAATCATCGGTCCCTCCCCTTAAAACAAGAATAATCCTCTAAAACAAAGAATAGATTTTTTAAATAATAAAATATAATGTCATGTAAAGACTCATACAATTTCTCCCTAAACAGTGGGGAACCTTCAGCAACTGATAACCAATCAAAGGCTAAAAAACGAAAAGTAATGAGCCCAAGCGAAAATTAATAATCTTTGAAGAAACAACTTTTTCCTTTCTCAACAGAAGTGCAAGAGATCAAGAACCGATAAATAACGAAAAAAACTGTTTCATTTATATTTATTTATTGATTACTCTTATTATTCTTCGTAATATTCTTATTAATTAATTAATATTAATTAATTCTTCGTCTTATTCATAATATTCATTCATACTACTCACTATATACTTACTAATGCTTATATCACTTACTTTACATCCTTTTTAAATTCGAAAGGTTTCTATTAAAAACTAATTAAAAAAAGTTTAAACAAATAAAATATTTATAAAATATAATATACAATGTCTGGAAATCATTTTAAACGCACGCATAATTTATAATTATAAGGACAGGTATTTCAAATAATTCGATACGATTTTTAAAATCATCTGAATGAAAATCGTTATTGTATAAGTTACCGTGTATTAAAGAATCTGAAAATTGTTTTCCCATGACTTATCTATTGTGAAAACGTTTGTAACTCTTGACTTGGTTTTTCGCCTGTAGAAAGCTTTAATTGAATCAAAAATTCAAAAAATTTGTTTTGCCATGGTTCAGCCAGTTTGTAAACGTTTGTGTCTCTTTCGTTGGTTAACCGCTTGCTAAAAGCTTTAATTGCATTAAAAATTGGAAAAATTGTTTTGCCATGGTTTACTACGGTTATATGTGTATTTAGTCCATTACAGAAACTAAAAATTGTTTTGCCAAGGTTCATCTAGTGTAAAAATGTTTGCGTCTCTTGCCATGATTTGCCGTAGGTTAAAAGCTTTAATTGTATTAAGAAGTCGAAAAAATATTTTGCCATGGTTAAGCCTGGGATAAAACAGGTTTGCCTTGATCCATGGTTCGCCAAGGGTTAAAGACAGTGACAAAAATTCAATAAAAAAGACAAAAAATGTTTTGCCATGGTTAACCCAGGGTAAAAACTGTTTTGTCTTAATCCATGGTTCACCAAGGGTCAAAATGACAAAAATTCAATAAAAGAGAAAACAAATGTTTTGCCATGGTTCATCCAGGGTAAAAACATTTTTGTCTCAATCCATGGTTCGCCAAGGGTTAAAGACAGTGACAAAAATTCAATAAAAAAGACAAAAAATGTTTTGCCATGGTTAACCCAGGATAAAAACTGTTTTGTCTTGATCCATGGTTCGCCAAGGGTTAAAGTAAGAAAAATTCAATAAAAAAGACAAAAAATGTTTTGCCATGGTTCATCCAGGGTAAAAACATTTTTGTCTCAATCCATGGTTCGCCAAGGGTTAAAGACAGTGACAAAAATTCAATAAAAAAGACAAAAAATGTTTTGCCATGGTTAACCCAGGGTAAAAACTGTTTTGTTTTAATCCATGGTTCACCAAGGGTCAAAATGACAAAAATTCAATAAAAGAGAAAACAAATGTTTTGCCATGGTTCATCCAGGGTAAAAACATTATTGTCTCAATCCATGGTTCGCCAAGGGTTAAAGACAGTGACAAAAATTCAATAAAAAAGACAAAAATGTTTTGCCATGGTTAACCCAGGGTAAAAACTGTTTTGTCTTAATCCATGGTTCACCAAGGGTCAAAATGACAAAAATTCAATAAAAGAGAAAACAAATGTTTTGCCATGGTTCATCCAGGGTAAAAACATTTTTGTCTCAATCCATGGTTCGCCAAGGGTTAAAGACAGTGACAAAAATTCAATAAAAAAGACAAAAATGTTTTGCCATGGTTAACCCAGGGTAAAAACTGTTTTGTCTTAATCCATGGTTCACCAAGGGTCAAAATGACAAAAATTCAATAAAAGAGAAAACAAATGTTTTGCCATGGTTCATCCAGGGTAAAAACATTTTTGTCTCAATCCATGGTTCGCCAAGGGTTAAATACAGTGACAAAAATTCAATAAAAAAGACAAAAAATGTTTTGCCATGGTTAACCCAGGGTAAAAACTGTTTTGTCTTGATCCATGGTTCGCCAAGGGTTAAAGTAAGAAAAATTCAATAAAAAAGACAAAAAATGTTTTGCCATGGTTCATCCAGGGTAAAAACATTTTTGTCTCAATCCATGGTTCGCCGAGGGTTAAAGACAGTGACAAAAGTTCAATAAAAAAGACAAAAAATGTTTTGCCATGATTCATCCAGGGTAGAAACTGTTTTGTCTTGGTCCATGGTTCTACAAGGGTTAAAGTGCATTAATTTCATTACAATCAAAGAAATGTATTTCTGCTCTTCAGCCAGGCATTTCCCAGACCATGGGAAACGATCATAAGCAAGGGTTCTCCCAGGGAATGTATTTGCCCTAGCCTATGGTTTCGCCAAGGTTTTTTACATCTTACTTCGAACCTTCTCCCAGGGTCTTCCCTGGGTTGACCATTTCTACGCGGGATATTACACATGTAAAATTTTCAGTGTAAAATGAAAGTAGGTTATCACTGTAACATCGAAATCAATATTTGACCACTTTTTTTATTCACGAAATTCGTTGCTTATTTTCATTTGCATTTTATCATAATAAAAACTCAAAATGTATTTTTCCACAATTTAATTAAATAAATGGAAATTCTGAAAACTGATTTAATTGATTCTCGGACAAGTGGTAATTATTTGAATAAGTTTTATATGTATAGTAAGTTTTTACGGCACACCATTCTATATAATCATACGAAAATGCTTTGTAACCTTAAATTATAATTTTAACCTAATTTCAATTGCCTTAAAAACCAATCAGGCTTATAAGCGTCACGCTGATATAAATTAAAAATTAGCCTATCAAAATATTTTCCTGTTAATTTCTTATTGGCTAATTGTTAATTTTGCGCGTCACGCTGTTTATATTGAATTGAATTTTAGTATTAGAATAAATGAAAATTTGTTTTATAATTAAATTTCCCGTGAAAATTATCGTTAAATGCCAAACCCTGTAAGTAAATTCAATCTGAGGGTACGGTCACACTATCTTATGCATGCAGAAACATTTGGCCGGTCACACTTCAACGAAATCTAGTGAATGTTTAGTAACTTTTTAGTAATTTTCCAAAAATTTCGATTGTAACTAGAAAGTTACTAAACATTCACTAGATTTCGTTGAAGTGTGACCGGCCAAATGTTTTTGCATGCATGCACAGTGCATGCATGAGATAGTGTGACCGGACCCTTATGTATTAGTTTTTCAAAAAAAGGTGCATGAATTTAAAAAAAAAAATAAGAATAAAGTTCGTTGAAATATGATTTTGTCAGTTCAATTAATTACAACACTTTTTAAATCATTTAATAAAAAAATTATTAGCCTTTAAAGACAACATAATTAAAAAACATTCATTACTTTATATTGCTTTATGTGAACAAGAAAAAAGAAAAATAAGAGGCATGAAGTGGACAAGGTTGGGAAGTTAAGATTATCTTAAGCAGGATCCATTAGGGCAGACGCACAATGACATCGCGAATGTTTTGCATTAAGGTCAGGTGCAACTCGTCAAATGTAAACAAACATGAAAATGTACGTAATTATTGATAAATTTGCGACAGCCTTTTTTTTAATAGAAAATAAAAATTGTTCTTTTTCTATGTGAAAATGGAAAATTCATATATAAAACTACAGCCTGACACCATATTTGACTAATAATATGAATAATGTAAATAATTATAATAAAATGAAAATTACACTGAAACAACAATTTTCTCAAGGTTATGAAAAAAGAAACCATTTTAGTATATCTGAGGCACGGACGTTATGAACCTTGGTGGGAGAAAGAGTTGAGCGATTGGATGGTCACATCTTGGAAAGGGTAAAATTCTGAAATTATACCCCCACCAGAGGACAGAGACTAGGTCTTTTACCCCTTCCCACACTATTTCTCCCTCCTAGGTTCTCAACGTCCGTGCCTCAGATATACTCAAATGGTTATTTTTTTATTACTTTTCTAATTAATCAGGTTTTTATTAAAAAATTTTTACTGATAAAAAATCTTACAATATATGTTACGTTAGCATCCTTTAAAATTTATAATAAAATATTTTTAGAGTAAAACTACTAAAGGCAGATATTGTTAAGATAGAGTCCTTGTATATTTTAAGTTATAAATTGTACTATGTATAAATGTTATTTTATTTGATAATAAAGATATTTTCAAGTCAAGTCGTAATCTTGAGAAAATTGTTGTTTCAGTGTAATTTTTACTTTATTATAATTATTAATATTATTCATATTATTAGTCAAATACGGTGTCAGGCTGTACACGGAAAAAAATTTTCTGGTAATTCTTTAACATCGATTTAGAGATTTTACATATTCTTAAATCTGTTACTTCTACAGATATTTTCTGTAAGGATTTAACGCATGCGCGAAAACAATGCAGTGATTCGACTAAGGCTGAGTACGATTGAGTGCGAGAGGTTAAGGCGAATTTAGTGTTTTTATTATTATCATAGTGTCGGCAAGAAAGTTTAATTAAAAAGGAAACGTCTTAAGTATATAAACATTATTATAGAAATAAATTATTACAAATTTTTTATTTTAAAATTAACTGTAGTAATTAAGTGAGAAAAGTCGTTTATTTCAATTTCTCGACATAAGAAAAAGTGGATTTATCATAAGTTTTGAAAACTTGCTCCTCATTTTTTTTGTTAGAAAATTATTGAAGGATGAATTTATTTACATAGAAGTTATACTAATTTATACAATAATGTTCCGCGAATTTAATGTATTCGGAGGAGAATATAACCTATAAGAAATACTCTATACCAAATATATATTATCCCCATATACTATACATAATTTGGTCACTCAACAGTTTTTAAGAACTGTAGCTCAAACTTGTGGAATTAACAGATTTTAACGCAAATGATTCTACAAATTTCTCTATTTGGAGAAACATCAGTAGATGGCGCAGGAGTTTCTGTAAATTCTACAGAAAATTTCTTTCCGTGTAGTTTTATATATGAATTTTCCATTTTCACATAGAAAAAGAACAATTTTTATTTTCTATTAAAAAAAAGGCTGTCGCAAATTTTGTCAATAATTACGTGCATTTTCATGTTTGTTTACATTTGACGAGTTCCACCTGGCATTAAGGGCAAGTCAAAGTCGATGCGATTTTCCCATTGAAACTCTATGTAAAAATTGCATCGACTTTGACCTACCCTTAAGGTGCTTTTATACCTCCCCACACAGCACAATATCTTGCTGTAAGCTTCCCTTGAGTTTAAACCCAAGATTCGTTAGCTTAAAGCGTAAACTTCAGGTGAGATTAAGGTGAGCTATAAATGTCCTCTTTACCGAAATCTGCAGTGTAAGATTGTAGTCAGCTTACAGTTATAACCTTACTGTAAGCTTTCCGTAAACTTTTTACATTATTATTAATAAATGTTAATAAATAAATTATACAATAATTTATGCGCAGTAATTTATTATAGCTTTTACGGCTGCGCAGTATATTTTAATCAACTTTTCCCGTTAGGATTGTATATCCTACATCACAATATTATATCATCTGGTGTGAAAAAAATAGTTAAATATTAATAAATAATATTTATTAATATTAATTAACAGTAGTGTAAGCTTAAAGGAAGTTTACATATGAGGCTTACAGTAATCTTATATGGAAGCTTACATTAAGACTACACGAAGCTTTCAGTGAGATTACAGTAAGGTTATAGTAAGATTAACTGTAAGCTGACTATAATCTTACACTGCAGATTACGGTATAGAGGACACTTTCAGCTCACTTTAACTTCACCTGAAGTTTACGCTGTTAGCTAACGAATCTTAGGTTTAAACTCAAGGGAAGCTTACAGCAAGATAGGTGAATATTTTTTCTCAAAACTGGTTACTCGGGGATTTTTGGGGTCGCTGAATACGAATCTGAAGTCAGATTTTAAAAATTCAAAATGGCGGATCCAAAATGGTGGTCGATTTTTGTTAAAACTCAAAATTTATTCACAAAAACTAGTTACTCGGGGGTTTTTGGGGTCGCAGAATGCGAATATGTTGTCAAATTTTGGTTTACTTCTTAAAAACTAACTCGGTACTATCAAAGATGTTACAAAAAATATGGTTATGTTACCCACTAAAATCAAGATGTTACTCCGTACAATCTGGATAGTAACTGATAGAATCTAAATAGTAGCTGTCCGTATATGTTAGATCAAATATGGTACCTGGTACTATCTAGATAGGTACCCCGTACCATCTATTTCTCTCCGAGAGAGTAATAAGTTTTAATCGAATCCGATGAATTTAAAAAAAAATTCGCCATTTTGAATTTCTTAAAACTAACTTCAGATACATATTCAGTGATCCTGAAACCACCCAAATAACAAGTTTCAAGCTATTTTGAATGAAATTTGAATTTTGGCCAGCTTTTTGGGAAAATGCCCCATAGTGCAGCCATTGAATTGTTTATCAAACGGTTCTGTTAATATACATCCAACTGCATAAATCTCCTTTCGGTTAGACGGCATTTTGAAAAGTCGTGACACTTCTATAACAATTTTATTAATATGTAACGAATGGTGAACTAATAAAATTATTATAAAAATGTCACGACTTTTTAAAAATACATTGTCAAAATATTGTCAAACCGGATGGAAAAGCGCTAGTTGAATTTTTTAAATTTTGCGTTTTATATTTCAATATGACTTGGAATTAAACTTTTCAAAAAATACTATGATCCGTCTTTGAAAAATACTATTTTTAGACAAATTATTTGAAACAGTGTTTTATACAATTAACGCGTCAATGTCTATTTTTATTTTTACAGGTGCCTGAAAGAATTCGTGCGATGAACTCGAGTGTAAAGTTACTTTTGATTGTGCGCGAGCCAGTAACACGAGCAATATCAGACTACACACAGCTGCGAACACACGCTGCCACAGCATCAACAACAACAACAAATGGAACACCAGTTCCCTATTATCAAATAAGTCGCACATTCGAGGAACTTGTTATGAGGGCTGACGGTTCTATCAATGAATTCTACAGGCCAATCGCCATTTCCCTTTATCACAACTACATGCATCGATGGCTGGAGGTATTCTCCCGTGATCAAATGCTGGTAGTGAATGGTGATCGGCTTATAGAAGATCCCGTTCCTCAATTGCGCAGAATCGAAAGCTTCCTAGGTTTAGAGCCAAAAATTGGTAGACATAACTTTTACTTTAACCACACCAAGGGCTTCTATTGTCTGCGCAATGACACTGCTGAAAAATGTTTGCGGGAAAGTAAAGGTCGTCGACATCCACGAGTAAGTCCTGTGGTAGTTACGAAACTTCGCAAGTTTTTCAATGAACACAACCAACGCTTTTACGAGCTGGTGGGCGAGGACCTTGGCTGGCCTGAGGAATAGATTCTCTCACTTTAGTTTCTAGTTTTTTTTTTTTTTTTATATTTATATAGTTAAATGGTTGTGCTTGTGGTTATGCCGATTCTGCATTAAGAGTCTTTTCATCAAGTTTTCTTTTTTTCTCTCAAAGAGAAATATAAGAAAGGAAAAAACTTACTCCGCAGAGAATGAGAATTTTATGAGGTTCTTATATCATCTACTTGGTCAAGTCTTTTAGATTAAAGATCTATGAGGTGCAACTTATATATATATATTTTTTTATGAGTTCTTGGGGATCAATTTTCCATTTTATATGCGCGTATCATATTCGCAATATATATAGCAAATTGTCTTTTTACAATTCTCTTTGGATAAAAAAAAAAGAAGATATTGTGAAATCTAATCGAATAGGTTTGAATATTCATTTAAAAATTAATTGATTTGTAATGATTTTCAGTAGTCTACAATTTAAATTGTAAATTCCTCAATTAAAATATGTAAAATTATGAGATGAAAATCACATCGGACAGAAGGTGTGAAAAAAAAATTGAGAAAGATTCACCTCCATATATATAGACAAAATTAAGCAGATTTGAAAAATCTGATTGGTTACGTGTTTGTGAAAATTTTATCAATCAAAAACAAGCGTCAAATTTTATAACTATTGAGAATTAAAGAGATAGATAGTTTGTCCTTCTCGCACTCATAGTCACAAAATTTGATGCTTTAGGGCTCTGTCACATGAAGCAGATTAGATTTTAACCAATCAAAATAGAATCTCTTTCGGTAAATATTACCTTGCCGCAAGAGACTAAATTTTGATTGGTTAAAATCTATTCTACTCTATGTGATAAGGCCCTTACGGTCTGTTGGAAGAAAATAATTTAGCGAGCAAAACAATTTGATTGGTTGTTTACAATCGAAGAATCGAAACTTTAAAAGAACCAATCAAATTGTTTAAAATTTTTTTTTCTCCTTATCGCTCTTTAAATTAAAGTGTATATGAAACCTCACAATATTCATAATGTGATTTAATTTCAAAAATCACCGATATATGTAAATACGTTAAATTTTCAGTTGATTGAAGATGTTAAATGCAAAGTGATAACCAATATTTTCTTTTGTGAAAGTGAAACTTGGGGAGTCTTTTATTGAAAATTCCTTGAGTTTGCAGTTTTCCTCCCTCTCTCTCTATATATATATAGTCTTATCGATACAATCAAAAAGCAATCAAGAGTGCAATAACCTATACATATATAGAACGTGTTTAAGGACCCTTGTGCAGAATCGGCTCAAGATTGTGAGAGACTGCGCGAATGAATGTTTTTTGAGACGAGAGAAAAAAGAGACAAAAAAATAAAGAGGAAAAGAGAAATGATGCCTTTAGAAGGGCGTTTCTGTCTATCCAGCGTCATTTGGATCACATTGATCCTTGACTATAATAATTATCGTACGTACTACAAGTTGATAGCTAAAATGCAAAGATTTAATATTTTTCTAATCCACATTGGAAGTTGTTATACTTATCGTTAAGGTATTATATAAATATATATATATATATAAATATATAATTAAAAAAAAAAAAAAATACATATCAGTCGTGACGAAAGATTCGACTAAAAGCAGGCGTTAATAAATGTTATTTATTTATTTAAGGCTAGGAAAGAAGATTTATTCACTTTCTTTAAAAATTTCCAAATTTAATTATTAAAGATTTTGATCTTCTTTTTTACGATGAATTGTAAATATTCGCGTTGCTTCTAAAAGAGTGAGGCTAACGATTACAATTTAGAATCATTGTTCCGTTTAAACAAAAGGAATATTTGAGAAATGTAATAGTTAATTAATTATGAAAGTAATTTTTGTTTCTTGTAAAAAGAAAAAAATGTTATTTTTTTATAATTATAATAATATCAAAAGATGATTTTTTTGGGGATAATTTATTATTGTTATGAGAGAAAGGATTTGTAAACAAAATTAAAATAACGACGAGGGAAACCTGTTTTCATAGAACATTATTATCACGATAATGCTCTTCTATTATTTCATTCATCGACAGAGTTCCCTCGTTTCCGCCTAAGGCTGCAATTCAAGATCTATATAGTTATAGAACAACCACTATATTGAGAACTTCGATGTGAAATTCAAATAACTTCCAACTCTAGTTGCATTACTATAACTTTTCATTATACAAAGGAATCTTGTAACATTATCGTTAAATTATATTTCTTTATACCTTATCAAAAAAGTATGGTTTAGTATTGTATTTCTTTTCACATAATTATTATTAATAATTATAACAGAGAATGAAAAATAATTATTTTTTATCTTAATTTATTAAAAAATTAATTAAGTTTAAACCATAATTTTTTATTTTAATTAATAAGATAATAATTTAATATAAATTAATTATTAATAATTAAAATCAGAGAACAGTGAACAATCTTCTTTCAAAATTGAATAGCTGCATTTTAGATGAAAAAAATTTTAATCAACATATGAAAAAAAAAAAAAAAATGTGATAATAATAATTTTAACCAGAAAAAAAAATGACGATTAAAATATGTATGCCTGTTTATAAAAATGATTTTCTTTCGTCACGAATTTAAAATAATTAATATTTATATATTATACAAACTGATTGTCGTGGTTGGAATTCGAAAGCTTTTCTTACTTGCCTAGAAATAAAAAAAAAACAAAAAATATCGTGCGATAGAATTTTTCTAGGACATATATACTTTTTACCGAATGTATACAGTAAGATTATTTGACTATGAATCACCCCCAATATAGTGTTAAAGTTTATGAAGACTTTAGTATATTTTAATTTAGAAATATGCAACCCGGTTTACAGAGAAGTTTGAAAAAAACATTGAACAGGAGTCATTTTTAAATTTGCCGCTTGAAATTGGATGCGCGCGATGATTTAAGTCATCACGTGATAGCAGAAAAGGCAAGTTGGAAACCATTTTGGTTATACGAAATCAAAACATAACCCCAAATAATCATCGTATTTGACATTATTAATAAAAAACAAATAGAAATAAAAAATAAATAGTCATTAAAAGATTATAATAATGATAAAAAAGTTAAAATAAAAATTTAGTTAAAAAGTGTTTGGCAATTTTATCTACATAGTGTGATGTGGAAGAGAAATATTATGTGTCTGAAACAATGTTTGTCGGAATTATTTATTTATTTATCATAAAATAGAGTCCGATTGTATTCTTTCAAATCAGCAAGTAAATGATTAATTCATAATTTCAGTTGTGTAGTTTCTAACCGTATTTTTTTCGTTGTTTTCGAATAAATAAATAATTTATTGTGAATTACGTCAAAATTTCTTGTAGAATACCTTGTGACACTGTTCACTTTATACTAATTTTTAATCAAATTCTTTAGAGTTTATCCATTTTTCAATTAAAAAATTTTTTTTTAATAAATAATTCCGACAAACATTGTTTCAGACACATAATATTTCTCTTCCACATCACACTATGTAGATAAAATTGCCAAACACTTTTTAACTAAATTTTTATTTTAACTTTTTTATCATTATTATAATCTTTTAATGACTATTTATTTTTTATTTCTATTTGTTTTTTATTAATAATGTCAAATACGATGATTATTTGGGGTTATGTTTTGATTTCGTATAACCAAAATGGTTTCCAACTTGCCTTTTCTGCTATCACGTGATGACTTAAATCATCGCGCGCATCCAATTTCAAGCGGCAAATTTAAAAATGACTCCTGTTCAATGTTTTTTTCAAACTTCTCTGTAAACCGGGTTGCATATTTCTAAAGTAAAATATACTAAAGTCTTCATAAACTTTAACACTATATTGGGGGTGATTCATAGTCAAATAATCTTACTGTATGTGTATACCATTTAAAACTATAATACATATCATAGATGGTAAGTTTAATTAATTTTAAAGTTTCTGGTATATACAAGTCGCCAATTGATATCAAAAAAACAATATTCAAAACGTAAGATTATACTCAATATATATATATATATTGTGTAAACGAATACATATCAAGATTGTGATAATATTTATAATTAATGTGTTAAATTATATTATCAACAGTTTAAACGAATTTACTGTCCATTATATAAAATGGGAGGGGAAAAAAAGAAAATTTTTATGTATTAGAATTTATTTTCAGTAAATCACAATGAAAGCACATTTTTAATTTATGTATTAGGGAAGTTTTTTTTAGTCAAGTAAGTGAAAAATTGACACAGTACTCTCTAAATCTGAATTAGTAAAAATGTTCACTAATTTGAATTAGTAACTCACTTTTTGCTTCTGAATTAGTAAAATTTTAATAATTATTAATAACTTTTACTATACCCGTGTGGAAATTGAAAAATGGTCCTAACTTGGTCCTATCTAGTTTGCCGTTTTATTATCTAGGTCCTATCTTGGCAGTCTAACTTGGTCCTAAAATGGTTGGTGATGCGATTTTAGCCTGGTCCTAATTTGGGTGCCTATTTAGGACCAATATAAGGGTCCTTTTTAGGTCCTAGATAGGATCAGCTTTTTTAAAATTTGCATAATTTTAATAGGATTAATTATTTGTTAATAAATTTTGATAACATAATTTTGTATTTTATATTGAAATTAATATATTTTAATTATAGAAAGTTTCTTTGAAAAAAATTATCTTTGTTTCAGAAAAATTTTAATTTTTTTAATCAAAGAAATTTTTTTTGATTTTATATTAGTATTGAAACTTTTTTGATTGAAATTTTTATTCTTTTCAATTTTTCAACTTATTTCAATCAAAGAAACTTTATGTAAATTTTAGAAAAACTTTTTGTTTAAAAGGAAATTTGTTTCGAATGATACAAAACAAATCAAAGCAACTGACTTTTTCAAATAAACAATCCCTTTTTTCTGGGTGTATATAATAAAAATAAAAAAATGTAATAAATAATAATAATAATAAATCAATAAACAAGCAGAATTACATTGCACTTTTTACACAAGAACTTAACCTCTAAATAACTTCTGCTTATAGTTTCGTCCGTTTCGTCTGCTAGGGTTGAAAAAGTAGGGGCAAAAAAATTCAAATTAACCTTTAGAGGGCCGGCATTTTTTAATTGAAAATCACCATGTTATAAATTGAAAATTTGACTACTTATGAAGTCAATATAAGGTAGAAAAAACCTGACACCGGAACTGGCAACTATAGTGGCCACCCCGGCCCTCTAGAGGTTAAATGTAACCCTTCTCATTTTGTTTAATATAAATTTAATTAATAATTAATTAAAATTTTTAAAATACTATGGTATATTTTTATTTTTTAATTATTTTTATTATTGTATTTATATATTTTTTTTTTATTATTTTATTATTATTTTATTATTATAATTATATTATTATTATAATATTATTATTAATTATAATTAATAATGCCAAAATACTCCGATATTACTAAAATGGCTTGTAAAAGCAGGACCAAGTTAGGACCAAATTAGGAAATATTAACATTTTCTGCCAAGTTAGGACCAGCTTAGGGCTAATTATCATTTTAGGCATACCTTGGGGATTTCTACTCGGGTAACAATTAGTAAAATTTAACTAATTGAGAAGCAAAAAGTGAGTCACTAATTCAAATTAGTAAACATTTTTACTAATTCAGATTTAGAGAGTAGCTTCTCAACAAAATTTCACATATTTTTTGATTCGAAACTTATTTTTTTAAATAAATTAATTTTTTTATTTAATCTATAATATAAATTTTACGATATGTTAATTATTTAATACATATATTTATTATATATTTTATTGCATTGTTATAAAATACATATTATAATTTACTTTTATTTTTTAAAAAACCAATTTATTTATAATTAATTTTATATTCATTTTTACAAATTTAATTTACACCTTTGAATTCGTGATTTTCGGGTGAATTGAAAACGAATGTTTCGTTTGTTTGCGGTTTCCCTTTAAACTTTTCACTTTAACTTCACAAGATGATGTGAATTGTCTGATTAAATTCTGGACAGATTCCAAGTGTCGAACTTGGAACGTGTCCTAAAAACGAAAACTATTATTGCTAATTAAATATTTATTTACTATTATTAAAAGAATAAAAATAAATTTTTGGAATTTATATTAAACGAAAAAAAAAAAACTTTTAAAATATAGAAATTTCAGGGAAAAAAAAATTGAATTTCAAATTTTCATAAATAGTGCGCTCGTAATTTGCACTTTTATTTCTTTTATAAAGTATATCTAGTATATACAATTCAATTATAATGAAGAAAATTGTTTTCAATAATAAAACAAATATTTACATTGCATTGTAGAATTTAAATTATATAAAAGTGCATAAAACCAAATCGCGATTATAATTATTCACTAAAAATTTTAAATTACGTTTTTAATTCTTTATGGAATTATAAAAATTTCTAATAAACAATTATAAAAGTAAATTAAAACTTTATTGTTTTGTTTAAAAAAAAAAAATTTATTATTATAATACACGATAAAAAATTAAGTATTATTAATTAATTTCTATGTTATATTATTATACATTTATTATTATTTAATTAATGGTTGATATTTTTCTAAATTCTTGATAAAGTTGAGACAAAATGTCATTTTGAAGATTTTAATTATACACAAAATATTACACTGCAGTATGATAAATTTAACTGAAATAAAATTAAATTTTTTTTATGTTTTTATGTAAGTTTTCTTATAGTTGTATACAGTAAAAATCCCCCAACAAGTCAAAGTTTATGTTTCACAATTTAAC